GAGGACGGCGAGGGGGTCGCCCCGGATCAGACGGTGCCTCCAGCGCTGGGGACAGGAGGGAGGGATGGGCTGGGGCGGCGGCGGAGGAAAGCAGAGGAAGGGGTCCCGCCAGACCCCCGGCCGGGCTCGGGACTGACCCGGCAGCAGTTCTCTAAGTCATTTGATGGGGCGCTTCCAGCATTTCCATCAAGAAGGTGTCGATCGGTGTGTCGCCTATTAGCTTGAAGAAGAAGAGGTGCTCCAGGCATTTCAGGCCGATGGACCGGAGGGCTGGGAGACGGAGCAAGAGCTTTGCAAACCTGGGGGGCAGGAGACATGACATGGTCAGAACATCCCACTGCAGCCCTGCTTCTGCCCCGACCCCCAAAGCTTCTGAGTTTGCTCCTGCTCAGAAGGGCTTGGAGTCAGACACAAAAGCCATGGGGCTACGGCCAGAGCTGTGCAGAGAAATCATTAATGATGCTCCTGGCCTTGAAGATCAGGCAGCCACAGTGGCTATGCACAACAAACCTCTGCTGATAGCTGAGCTGGAAGAGGAAAAGAAGAAATGAAAGGCCAGCCCTGGACTGGGGTGCACCATTGGCTTCATGCATTTGTGTCACGCACGTGCATCACCATTCCAGGAGCGCCCCGAGATGCTCGTGGGCTCCCCACACCCCAGCCCCAGGGAGGAGGCACCATGGGCCAGCCTGCTCACAGGCAGCCGTGCAAGCAGCTTCAGCAGCTCTATCTTTGCTCGGGGAAAACAGCAAGCGGCCGAGGAGGGGATGGAGGAGATGCTCAGTGGGGTTCGGCAGCACTTCACTCGGCAATGGCCCTTTCCTGCAGGCACCGGGAACCGTCTCATGGGCTGCTGCTTGCTGCCGAGCCCGGGGGGGCTGCTGGCGTGGCAGAAACCCAGCCGAGAGCCAGGCTGGAGGCACCCAGGGGTGAAGCCAATGGAAGGAGAAAGGACTTCGATGCAAAAGCCCCAGCGTGGGGCTCGGCAGCCGAACAAAAGCCCCTTCTCCCCAGCCTGCCTGGAGATGCTCGTCAGGTCGCACCCGCAAGAGCTGACAGGCAAGAGGGGTTAGCAGCCCGAGCAGGGGAGAGCCAGGGGGGCTGGACAGAGCCGACAGCGTGGCAGGAACCAGCTGGGGTGAAGGAGATGAGCCCAGGGGCCAGCTGGCCATGCTGGGGAACAGCTGCTGGGTGTCGGGCTCCAAGGGTGGCAGTAGGCTGTGGAGCTGGGAGAAAGCCACCCTCCTCCAAGGGTGCTTCGAAGCATCCCCCAGTGCCATCCGGGGGTGCCCCCACCCTGCTGCCCAGGCAGCAACCCCAGGCACTGCGGGATGTCAACTCCCCTTCAGGGAAAGGCCCTTTAATGGCTGGGAATGCTTTTGTTTGTTTTTACTGCTGCACAACCAGGGTTTGAACATAAGCAAAGGCAGGAACCAGCCCAGAGAGAAGGGGACTCTCGCTAAACACACACACACAGAGACATGCACAAGCGTACAGATATTATACATGCATGCACACTTCTCTCTCCCTGTTTTGTTTTTTTTTTTCTCTGAGCTGGCAAGAACGGTGGGAGCAGAGCCAGGAAAAACAAATCAGTCCTACCATCCCATTCAGGAAGTTTCACTTTAAACCAAACCAGATGATGGTTCCAGCCCTCGGATACGTTTAACTGTGAGATAACCAGCCCGCAGCAGAATGTGCCAGAGCTGTGTCCGCGAGGGGAGAAAACAGCCCCAATTTCCCCGGCGGGCTGCTCGGTGTCACGTACACACCGTGCCCTCCCCGCAGAGGAGCAGGGGCTGGCGGGGAGAGACCATGGCTGGGTTTGTCCCAGGAACGCCTCCCTCCACCTCGCTGCTGCAGGGAAGTTCCCTTTCGGTGTTGACATGATGCTCACAATGGCCAGGGACCAGGCTGGAGTCACACACCAAGGGACATGGAAAGCGTGGGGAAGCCAAGTGCCCGCCACCGGCTCCACCAGCCGTTTGCTCAACCACAGGAAGAACTTGTTTCCAGCCCCAGGTGGTGATCACATCGTGCCATGAGACCAGGAGGATGGAGAGAGCTCCCCTTCGTTTAGCTATTGAGCAGCTCTGGGCTCCCAGAGTTAACCCTCCCGAGCCACCTGGGCTTACTCCCCCATTGCCCTGTCCACCGATGAGACGGAGTAAGGTCAGCAATGCCTAGTCCCGGCTCTCAGGACAGCCCTAAGTGTGCAGAAACCTTTCAGGTCACCAAAGAAGGGTGTGAGGATCACACAAGGATGACCCCAGCCCAAGGTCATTCAAAGCCCGGGAGAGATCAAACTCCAGAGCCCCTGATGAAAACACCTAAAACGCTCCCTTACACATTGCTGATCATCGAGGCAGAGCCCTGGGGAACTGATCTGGACTGGTGGCTCAGCAGCTCTGCTCAGTCGTGCACAGCAGCTTTGTGGTGCCTGGGTTGATGACGAGTGGGGCTGTCCCCACGCCAGCCCCTGCCCAGCCCCAGCCCAGCCCGCAGCAGCCAGCACCAGCGTGGGAGGGCAGCACGGCTCAGCTGCGGATGCTGGAGGTCTGGGCGAAGCAAAGAGGTCATCCCACCGGGGGAATAATCCCGGAGAAGTTCTGGCTGTGATTCCCAGGGCAGCTCTCCTTGTGCCAGGTACAGCCGGCTGCTCGCTGTGAGCCCCAAGGGGAGCGGAGCTCTTCTGAAACACCAGCACAGCCAAAGTCCAGGGGCTGGGGCTGGATTTGCTTAGGAACTGCAATTTTAATAACGCTTTTTGGAAGAGGAGTCAGCCTGAGAGTTGGCCTGAGGTTCACACAAACCCCCCGGGAGAGGAGAGGTAATCGCCCCTGCTCTGTGCACCGTGCTCAGCCCTCGCCTCCCCTCCTCGCCCAAAGCCAAACACACCCAGCGGTACCCCCATCCCGACTCTCCCTGCCACAAGCCAACCAAGCACATCCAAGAAGCCCCTTAACAACACATCTTTTTTCATCTGCCAGCACACTGGTACCCAAAGTGGGGGGGGAAATAAGTCCACTATTACTCCTGAGGGCGCGATCTGCCCAATGCATTAATTGCTCTAAAAGCAATTTATTTATTTAACCATCCAGACACGACAGACCAGGAATGCAGGTGAGATGCAAATCCCAGTTGCTTGGGCTGTTTTTCCCAATCTTCACGCCTCAGCAGCAATACGCACCAGCAGCCGTTTCCAGTGCTTTTTGCTCAGTTTCTCAAATGACTGTCAGTAACTTAACTGGCAGTTGCCAGCTTCAGGCTGTAACTGGGAAAATGCGCCCACTCAGCTCCAGAGCGGTCCAGGAAAGCATTCCTAATCCCCCCTCCCATTCCCAGCTGGACTGGGGGAGGAAAGGAGGGAAGAAAAGAGCATCAATTGAGGCTTTCACTTCCCAGCAATGATGCTCATCAGCCACCGAAAATTAACTCCGTGTGCATCTTATTTTCACTGTGGTTTGCTCTCCGTGGTTGCCAGAAGGGAAATGATACCCCTTCCCGCGTGTGCTCATCCCACCGCTGCGGCCGCGGAGCAGGGGCTGCTCAGGGCTCGGCACCGCCAGCACTGCCCGACCTCGTCCTGGTTGTGTTGCATTTACTAGCATGGGAATAAAGACCTCTCTGCACTTCACGGGAGGATTTTCTAAGGATGTTCACAGCTGAAGCAGGTAGAAATGAGTGGTCTTCTCCCCCAGAAGATGTGGGAACAGGAAGCGCTAAATGGACCCAGCACCTTGCAGCCACCCCAAGGATGGCACTCGGACCCTGCCCAGGGCTGCAGCACCCATTGCACCGGCTGCAGCACCCACTGGACCCATTTCACAGGGCTTTGCAGGGGCACGGGGCTGGAGGAGGACAGGGCTCAGCCCAGAACTCACCTCCCGGGCTGGTCGGGGTATTTGTGTTTGCAGTATGCCTCTAGCGACGCGTACACCTTCTCCCGCAACGCCTCCACTTCAGCCGGGTTGGAGAGACCTTTCGAGTCTGAAACGCAACAAAAAAAACCATCAGCCAAAAACCTCCAGGCTTTCCAGGCAGGAAAGGACCCCCACCCCGTGCATCCCACAGCCCCCTCCATCCTTCCTGGCACCACCAGACCAGGGTGCAGTGTGGATGCAGGGTCTGAACCCCAGGTTTTGGGGCAGTACCCAACACCTCCCAGGGAGTGTTCAAGCCCTGGAAGGTTTGTCCTGTTTTCCTCCAGCTCATATCCCAACCCCAACCATTTTGGCTCATTCCAGTGGTCACAGATCCTCATTTAAAGGCTTTAAGTCCCCCTCAAGTGGGGTTTCTCCCTCCAGCATGAAGCACTGGGGCAGGGCTAAACGACAAGCCCCCACTCTGGCAGGTCCCCCACGCCACGGCGAGGCTCTGTTTTTAGTAGGGTGAAAGGAACAGTTGAGCAATCAATAACCCCAAGCACATGCACTGCGGGAACCTCTCCAAATTCCCCTTCTTTTACCATGTAGGGCTAATCCCAAATTACAGACAATAAATTACTGGTGATTACAAGGTAGGGGGGGGGCATGGAAATAAGGCAAGCAGAAAAACAAACCCAAGAAACAGCAATAAACCCTGCTGAAATGCCCTGGCCAGGGTTCGGTGGGAAAGGCCAGAGAAAGAGCCGGGCTCGGGCACCTGGGAGGGCAGGGAGGGGAAGGGGTGGACACAGATGTGGAGGTCCATCCTCAGCTGCCATCTGCTTTGGCTCTGGACTCACCTGCTCTAAAATATAGGGAACCCCCTCAACAGAGCTATACAGGCACCTACAGCCTGGCAGTCTATCTCCTGCCACAGCAGGGCTTTGCTCTTCGAAACGCTGGAGGCAACCCTCCAGCAATGAACCTTCTTCCCCCGAGCTGGGGAAAAGAGAGCAGCCTGAAGCCTGGAGTCTGTAAAACTAAGCAAGCTGCGGACAAAAAATCAAGTTCTTGTGCATTTTACAAGCACGTTTCATGCCTTTCACCCTCTCCAGGTCTGCAGAGGGCTTTTCCAGGAACACAGTTAATAAAAGCCCTCGGATGTTGAGATCTGGAAGCAGAGGACAATGACGTCCATGCTCTAACTTTGCTCTAATCCATACATTTCTCTTAAAGGAGATCTAGATTCATTTTTGCTCCTATTCAGGGACAACTCCCTCAAGCACCAGAGCTTTCTTTTTACAGAATTGCTTTAAAACTGAGAATACAAAGACCATGCAATATTGATCAAACCAAAGCCCCTCAATCTCAGCAGAGGACTCAGCCCATCCGTAGGAGGCAGCTCCAAAAGCAGCGTTCACCATCTCCTCGGATGATCACAGCTAAGTCCTTGCCTCGCTTCCTCCTTGCCCTGTCCTCGGGCGTTGGGTGCCCTCAGTTATTTGCAATGGAGCTTTATAGGTAAGCCAGGGAACCAAAAGGACACAGCATCAGCCAAGAGAGGACCGGAGAGAAGGTAACAGCACGTACCGGGGTTGAAGAGGACAATGGCTCGCAGGCAGCCTAGCTCTGTCTTGTCCATCTGCATGTCTCGCATTTTTGACACGAGTTCTGTCAGTACTCTGCAAAGGACACAGAAATCACAGGCGTCAGTATTAAAAAGAAACCGAAAAACACCCAGGTGTCAGGCGCAGAGCGAGGTCCTCCGGTGACGGGTAATGAAGTCATGGGATAGCGCTCGCTTACACCAGCGGAGGATGTGCCCTCAGCTTCCTCCCGTATCAAAAATAGCTCATTAGGAACATCAATAGTTCCTCTGAGATGCAACAGGGTCCATAAAAACTGGCTTTGTGCATTCACTGAGAGGCTTTGACACTTGAGACAGCTGCCTAAAAATAAAAAATAATAACACACACAAAAAACCCCAACAGGTATCTAAAAGCAATTTCCTCTGCCGGTAATTTTTATTACTCCCTTTGCTCTTACTGCAGGTGCCGGTCCTGAAATATTTTCCACTGATTGCCCAGTTTTTCCTGTTAGATCCTGCAGTGAAGTCATGATCTTGCACTTACGACCTCAGAGGAAACAAATGATGTCACCCAGGTCCAAAGAACAATCGCCTTGCAGAGCAGCAGAAGCGAAAGCGATTTGGTTTCAACTACGCGGTATCAAGACGGGTCTTGGACAGAGAAATAAGCCATAATTTCAGTGGTGTCTGGAGCCACACTGCGGGTCAAACACCCTGGCAGTCTGGCTTTGAAACACTTTCCCAAAGCACGAGATTAAAGAGCCCTCGGGATACGCATGTGGAACCTGCTGGGTATTTTTGGTGCTTTTTCATTGTGAAAATAAAATCACGTCTTGGTCCAATTAAAGATGAAAAGACACAAAGGAGCAGCCTCCTCGTAACATTAGAAAGCATCTGGACTCCATGAAAGAGGCTTTGATTTGCGCTGGGCAGCCTTCTCCCTGACTATTTCGGGCTGTTGGTTTCTGCAGGTTTCAGAGGAGGGATTTCATATCAGGGATTTCAGGACCAGGACATTTCCACACATGCCGTGGGATGGCCACGCCGCAGCCTGGGCTCCTCCGGCCACCAGCCCATGTGCCAACACATCTCCATCCCACCCCTCGGGCAGGCTGCCAGCGTGGGGAATGGAGGCAGGCTGGCATGGAGACAGAGATGGGGATGTCTAGGCAAGGTGCCCTGAGATGTGTCCCCCCATGCCCGTCCCCCTGCCCACCTGTCGAAGATGGCCCCGACGCCGGCGCTGTGCGCGCTGTTCCGGTGCACGTGGAGCCCGGTGGCTAAGAGGATCCCGTCCTTCACGGCTATGGAGCGGTGGGAGAAGGAGGCGATTAGGAGCTCATTCCACCCTGGGAAGGAGAAAACAACCACGGGCACAGGTTAGAGCCACGGGGTCCTCAGCAGGGTTGGGAATCAGCAACATCACCTCCCTGGTGCCAAAAAGAGAGGAAACTGCTCAAGAACTGCCTTCGGTAGAGTAACGAGGGAGGATAGGGGAAGGGAGGGGGGAGCCAACCCGTTCTTGGATGTCAGGGAAGGAAAAAAACATTAAGGAACAAATGCACTAAAAATGTAACGCTAATAAGGGAAGCGGTTTCCTCTATAAACCTTGCAGGCAGCCGAGCAAACAGCTCTGCCCTGCTCCTCTCGCTGGGAACATGCAGTGGGTGTGGAGCCCTGCATCCCCCACTGACCTTACCCTCCCTGCCTCTGAGCAGTTACAGACCTATTAACACTTTATATCAGCTAATTGGGCTCATTTTCAGGCCATAGCGGGGCACAGAAGTTCATTCACCATCATTCAGCTATGTAAATCGGGATGATGAAAATTCTTGCTTGCAGGTTCGTTGCTTCTGCCACCAAGATACTGGAGGGGATTGCCCCTCCTCTCGCCTGTGCTCTACAGGGATGGCCCAGGTCCACGGCTGCTGCAGGAACAGCCTGCCATAGCTGCTTGGAAATCAGCTTTTGTCATATTAATTACTGGACATGCTAATTCAGGAGATAGGAAAACACATCCCGTGAGCCCGGACAGCACGGGAGCGGTTTGAGCCGGTTACAAACGGGGAGAGGAAGGGAGATGCAACCTCCCTGCCGAGCTTCCAGCTTCCCTTCCGAATTTAACACGTCGTCAAATTCTTAAATCTGCTACCAGCGGAGTTCAAGAACGCCTGGAACAAACCCGTAACAAGAAGAAACGCAGTAAAGTTTGAAGGGTGGAAATGCTGGTGACTTTGAAACATCTTCAGTAAGACAAGACAGGTCTTCTGCAGCACTCATCGTGTGGCTGATTTACCTACCGGTGTCCAGACACAGGGCTGCTTGCCAGGGTCCAAAAATGTCAGGATATTTGAATTTATTTTTTTTTTTCCCAGGCCAGAAGAGCAATGCAAAAAATATCCTTTACCTCCTCTCCTCCCACAGGAACATGTCTTTTCTCACTGACTGGAATAAAGACAAGGTCCACGTGTACCTACTGTTGTAGAGATGAGTTGTACCATTAAAAATGTTGACAAGGAATAAAGTTCACTCTTGCCTAAGTGGCCACAGGATGTTTCCACCCCAATCACGGGAACATTTATTTGGCTATTTGCTGGGCGAGGCCTGGCACTTGCAGAGGGATTGCAACACTCCCAATCCAAGGAGGATGGAGGAGAAGACACGGGACTGCACGAGGAGCCTGCAGGAACCATGCTCCAGGATTTTTTCACCACCCTTTGGATCCTGGGATGAGTCTGTCCGCCTCTCAGAGTCCTCAGGTGCTGGGCCCACACCTTCTCTTTGTTTATTTAACAAAAGTTCTCAGGTCTCCACCTAATTTTCTCCAATTAGCATAGGAAGCAATGGGCCTTAATAAGCATCAGAAGCAGAGAGGGGTGTCTCCCTAATAAGAGCAGGAAGGGTAGCATGAAACCTTCCAACCAATTGAGTTGGTGGTCGTGCAGACCCTGTACTGGATTAACTTTGGCTGAACTTTCTTTGTTGGCACCTTCGAGCTGGGGGCGAGGACTTTGTTAAGCAAAAGTTTGTCCTTGTTTAGTGAGGGGAGTAAAGCCTCCGGTGCGTTCTAGCCTGCTTCTTCTTATCAGCAAGGAACAGGATTCTTGCCTATTGCCGTTGTACAACCAAGATGTCTGAGCCATCCCAAGGCCTTCCTTCATCAGGGCCTGGGACAGGCAGCGAGTCCTTTACAGGCAGGTGTTTGTAGAGCTGGGGCGGTGCTGGTGCCGTTGGTGCAGGTCTGGATTCTGGAGTTGGGTTTTTGGCAGGGAGGTGGTTCTAGACCACGCTCTAGCTCGCCGGATGGTTCTAGATCAAGTTCTAGAGCACGTTCTAGCTCGCTTGAAAGGTCTAGATCAGGTTCTAGATAACATTCTAGCTCGCTTGAAAGTTCTAGATCGGTTTCCAGGCTGGCCTAGGGCTCCACTGGGTTCTGAGGGGGGAGGACCTAGTTCAGGCAGCTGTTTTGCCATCTCACAAGGATTTGGAATGCTTGCTGATGATGAGAGCAGTCTCACTGATGGTTTTTTTCCTTTCTCGCATGCTTTTTTTCTTCTTTGTGGCTCTTTTGAGTTGAAGGCTCGTAGGATCATCCCATCAAATGCAGCTATCCCAAGTTTCTGGCACGCTGACTCGCCCTGCCTCTGTGGACATTCTTTTTGCTGGAGGCAAAATTGGAAATTGGACAAGCTCCTACTTGCCCATCTCCTTTGCAGCAACTGGTTGCCCTGTTCCAGGGAGTCTTGCCACCCTGCCCAAAAGCCTTGTCGAATTGGCTTTGGCACCCACTCTTGCTCCCAGAAGAAGCACTTCAGACAGGGCAGGGGTGTCTGTGCACCTCAGAAAGGGCTCAACCCTTCTAGAGGATGCTCCAGTACTTGCACCTGCAGCTGCAAATGCCAGCCTAACCCCAAAGCTGGAGAAGAAACAGAGGAATTGCTCTGGCAAGACTCCAATCTCCAGCATCACTCGCCTGCTCATGAGACAGCAGGATGGCGCAACGACCATCACTGCTGCTGGCAGAGCCCTTCGCCAGCCTCGCCTCAATTCCCAGGCAGGTTGAAAGGCAGGAAGAGGAGACTGCCCGCTCTCCTTAGTGCTGCACTCCAGCTTGTGATCCCTACAGGTAGCTGGAGTGTTGGCAGCAATTACTGGGCCGACACTGCTGCTATTGGACTGCAACGTCCAGGGTTGAATCCCGCGCAACACTCATCATTTGGTGGCCCTCTTCTTTCACGTGGACTCGGCGCTGGCTTGCCGGTGCAGACAGACAACGCAGACTTTAGGAAGGAAATTTTAAAACTACCAGGGACTTTGGAGTCCCCAGCTTGCCGGGGTTTGGCTGCCGGGCTGGTTTGTCCCTGGTACCTCCCCAGCTCCGAGGCTGCACCTCTGCTCCGCACCAGACTGCACCAACATTCCCTTTGGAATTCCCTTGACTGCTTTGAGTAGCCAAGGTCGGCGTCTCCCCTTGCCAAGCGGAGAGCTGGGTGCCACTGCCAGCCGTCAAGGTCTCCTCATTTCCTCTCCCAGCCTCCCCCTTCACACGGAGTTTGTCATTTGTTGGAAGCGACTTCATCTGTCCCACTGACACCTTGCCTTCCTCTTTGTTTAAGGGAGCAAAACTCGACACTGTGTCAAGCCAAAGCCTTTTTAATCACTTATCTGATGACTGGAGCTATGCAAAGAGCTTCATGCCTAAAATGCACCCTCATCGAGCTCTGCTCTTGAATGCTTGCCCTCCCCAGGCTTTGTGCACAACCTGCCAGCAGCAGAGGTTTGAATTTACTCGACAGAAGAAGAACCTTCTCACAGCTAACCGCTTTTCACCTCCCAAAGTCTCCGTTACTGCCGACCCCCTGCTGCACAAGGAAATTTAAAATAAGCCCAGAGATTTTTATTTTCATCTTGGTGGGTGGGAGAGGGATGGTGATATCTTTTTCTCCCCTTTCTGGTTTTAATTATGATCAAACATTTCAGTTTGATGAAATTTCATGGAGTCCCAAGCCCACTTGGTCTTTCAAGTCGCAGCCCGGGAGGGAGGCAGCCCGTAGCTCCCTTAGCTTACATACCCCAGCGCACATCTCCGAGCGCCTCGCTCATCAGAGACGAAGCCGAGCCATTTTTCAGCTGATTGGCAGCTGGTGCAACATTTTGGATCACACTCAGCCACACGTCCCTTGGGGCTTTTAAAATCCTATTTAGCAATTGAATTATCAGGGGCTATTACTCAGAACCAGTTAACGGCTTGCAAGTTGCCGGGACCTAAATCTAAACCGTTATACCCATCACCAGCGAGATGGAGACACTCCTACGGCCCCATGCCACAGCCCGTGTGGGGACAGGTCCCACTCACCTGCTCTGAGCAAGATGACCTGGTCGTCCAGGGGCAGCTCGGAGAAGTGGGGGATCCTCTTGGCCCACTCCACCAGGGTGAAGAGCTGTTTGTCTGCTGCCTGGCATATGTTCGTCACCGGGTCATTGGGCTGCCAAAAAAAGGAGGTTGAAAGGTTGGAAGAAGGCAGAGCAAGGAAGAGTTGAGGTTGGAGGAGCAGCAGAAGGGGCTTGCTGCCCCCCTGCTGCAGGGAAGGATCCCAAAGTTGGGAGCACCCCAGGAGTGGCTTCTCCACCCCGTGTTTTTAAGTAGTTTTTAGCACACTCCAGAACAGTAACCAGCAGTGTTCAGACTCAATATCCATCACACTAACTGATGAACCAAACGAGCTCCAGCCCAGGGCAGGGCAGGCTCTTGCCCCCTCCAGCACGCGTGGTCCCAGCATCTCCCAGCTCGATAAACCAGCACCAGAGGGGGCATTACAGAAAAAAAGAGAAAAACCCTTTCCTTTGAAATACTATCCCGTAACAAAAACCATCTGCTCTCAAGGAGGACAGTCAGCCTAAACACACCAAATCCCTGTTTAAAGGAACTGCTAACAGCTCAAGTGGGCTTGTGATTAGGAACGGGAAGAGCCTGTCTAACCCCGGCGAAGGCAGACCTCGCTGTGCAAGTGTGTGTATATAGGGTTTACCTCTCTGGACAGGGATGTGTAAGCCCCTCCACATATCCCCCTGTAATCCCTGCTGATATCTAGCAGCTTTGAGTGTACGATTATTCTTCTTCCATGTCCTTAAAAGAGCAGTTTCCAAATCGGAGGAGGAATGTTTACTTCACCCCTGGATTGCAGGGGGAAGGGGTGTGAATTGAGAGCCAGAGCAGACACGAACACCAGCGTAACCTCTCCCTTCTGCAAGTCTCAGGACAAGACCATTCCTCATTACGAGCTGGCTGTGCTATGGCAAACCCCTCTCCCAGGATGGGCAGCTGAGGACCATGCTGCTGAGTCTCACTCCTGTGCCCCCAGCCCCCTGTCCGGTCCCCTCCGCTGTCCCCTGGCAGCAAACACAAACTCTGTGCCTCGGTGGCCAACGTCTCCCATTCTCCAGGCTTAAAATAACCAGCACCTGGCAAGCTGAGGGGCACCCGCCTTCGAAGTATTTTCACCTGTTGCGTGCAGAGATGGATGGGAACGGGCTCACGTTCAGCAGCGCGGCCGAGGAGCGGGGAGCATCGTTCCTGGGATTTTCCCCTCCTTGCTCTCACCACCCCCAGCAGCTCTCCAAGGGGTGCGAGGGCAGGGGAGTCTCGCTCCAAGGGAGCTGGGGCTCTTCCCTGGGGAAGGAGATGAGAGCAGGGACGGGGTTTTTCCCTGGGAGAGGGAGAAAAGATGGGATTTCCTCTGGACAACAGGAAAACCCTAAACTGGGTGTGAAGAGGAGCTCTGCAGGGCTAAGTGTTTCCCAGCAAACACAGGGGAACGTCGGCATTCAGAGGCATTTGCAAGAAGGGTGAGAAGGGACACCCTTGGCCCAGGCCATAGAAAGGTCACCAACTTCCAGTCATCCCAGTTTGGTCAGCAAGCTGGAGTAGCCAGGTGGAGAACCCAGGGGTCCCAGCTCCCGCGGGTGGGATGGGGATGGAGTCCTGCCTGCCCCAGAGTGGGACATGACCCATGGGAGACCCCACACTCCAGCAGAACCTGACCTACCAAGCAAGAAGTGCCTGCACAGCCCCATGGAAGGGGTATTTTAGGAAAGCTGGATGTTTTTGCCAAAGCTTTTCTCAGGGGTTGCTTCTGGGCAGGTCGTCATCATCTCCAGGACTGTCCCAGCCCAGGTGGCATCACCGCTGCTCCGCAAGCAGCACAAGGTGCACCCAGCCTTTGGTGCCTCGTACAAAGCCTCAGCGAGGGGCCCAGCCTTTGATTACACCTCAGATGGCAGTTCCTGGAACCATCACAGTGCTTTGGGGCAGAACTTAATCACTGTGGCTCGAGAGGCAGCTAAAAGTATCATCCCCGCGGGCCAGAAGGGCTCTGCCTGTCTCCAGGAGGGGATCGGCACAGCAGTGCTAGCAACCCTCCCCATGCAGGGTAAGCAAATCCCCTCCTGCAGTAAATAGCAAGGGCACGGTGCCGGAGTGTGACAGAATGAAAGGACACGCAGGCACCTGATCCTTCTAGAAAACCGGAGCTTGGAGACATCTTCCAGAAAATGGGTGACTTGAAACCAGCCGCTCAAAGGCCAATTAAGAGCTAATGGGGCTGACACCTCTCAGTTACAGGCTTTGCCTTTCAGTGGCCAGGAGCCCATCCGAGGTGGTGCTTACGCTGCAGGAGCCCAGCTTTGCGGCTGCTGGGGACACAGGGCAGAGACAAACCCACCCTCGCACCCCATTGCAGTGCCCAGGGACAGGGACCCGCTGCGGGCGTGCGGCCAGTGCCCAGCTCCCGAGGGGCAGGGACCACACTGGGGTTTGGGGCTTTCTGGGACACACAGCGTGGAGGAACCCTGCAGCCACGCTCACTTACAGCTTGTGGGAGCCTCCCAAAGGGTTTATCCCTTTTGCCACGATCAGAAGTCAGACAACCGTCACAATTAGCAGCTCTTTGCAGCAGCTGAAGAGCTGTTATCAGGGGCTCACCGGTGCAATTATACTTCAAGTGAGTGTTTTAGTGATGGTCATCGAAACCAAGAGTCTTGGCACTCTCCTGCTACCCAAGGCAGAAGGAGAACAGATTCGCAGGGGCAGATCCCTCTGTCTGAGCTGTCTTCTGCCTGGCTCAGCATCCTGCCCCATCCTGTCTGTGCCACTCAAAAGGGTCACCCCTCACTGTACTCCTCTTTCCCCATCATGGGCTTCAAACCATGAACGTTCCCCATCCTCTCGGGTGTCAGTGAAGGTGTCAGGACAGAGGTCCCCTCCCTGGTCCCATGCTCAGCCCCAGAGCAGCAGGCTTTGCCAGCATCCCTCAACCAGAGCTGGGACCTCTGCCTCCGGAGCAGCCAGGGCGGGGATTGGACTAGATGATCTTTCGAGGTCCCTTCCAATCTCTAACATTCTGTGATTCTGTGATTCTGTGAACCAGAGCTGGGATCTCTGCCTCCGGAGCAGCCAGGGCACCATGGCACAAGGTGACAGTCACAGACATGACAGCACCTGGGAGAGGAGGGTGTTAACTCCTACAGCCCCCCACCACCTCTGTCCCAGCCTGGCACAGCCAGAAAACGTCCTTGCAAATGCTGGAGCTCCTGCAGGCAGCGTTCAATGCAGATGGACCAAGGTGCAGGGACACATTTAAAGGACCCAACACACCAGGCTAATAGGAAACAGCTTGTGTTGTACCCCGTGTCTATTACGGACTGAGTTTTTCTGCCTTTCCATCACACGGGCTCTCCGGGAAGGGCTGGGAGGAGGGCAGCTCCTCCATCATCCCTCGCCTCATCCGGTGGCCTCGTCACTGTGAGCTGCTGATCTCATACATCTGCGAAACCTGCTACAAATGTCACCTCATCGACAGAAGCCGCTTGACAATAATAGGGCATTTCAACAAGCCTCCTGCTTCTATTTAGATGCAACACACATCCTTGTTCACAGTAATACACGTTGAATTATGCAGGAACCAGCTTTCAATTTGCTACAAGAGGCTGAGGAGCCGCAGTGCCAGACGAAGCCATTTATTCCAGCTCGCTCTCTGGGGTTTGTTTTCACGTCAGCACAAACGCTAGGCTACAACTCCCTTGAAGTATTTTTAATCCTGATAGCCGTCAGAGCCTCTCTGAGCCCCTCGCTAACCACGGTTGAGCTGCCTCCTCCAAAAAAAAGCCCCTTGCAAGGTTCAGGGCTGCTCTGTGGGAGAGAATTGCTGTCTGCAGGGTGCAACGGGGCTCTCCAAGGCAGGGGAGCACCGTGGCTCGGTATCATCTGCTTCTGGGCTGTTTTACTGAGGAATTGGCTCTGCCCTTAGCAGGAAGCCTTATGCACTGAAAAGCCTGACCTAGCAAGCCAGCCATGAAGTGTCCTTGTAGGTAAAGGTCAAAAAGAGCATCCCATAGAGGCAATCAAGGCTTAAGACTCCTACAAGGAGCAGTCTCATTCTGAGATCTCTTGTCAAGCCCTGCCAGACACGGTATTCCCAGCTCAATCCTCCAAGCCTCACATAAAGAAAGAGATAAAGTATTATTGTAGCAGAAAATAAATACTGCAGAGTCCTTCCACTTCTCAGAAATAGCTGCATTTCATCATCTCAACCTCACAGACACCTAGCACAGAGCAACAGGAGCTGCAGAGGGATGTTCCAGCCTCTGCTCCTGCCGTACAGCCCGCAGAGCCCCGGCTGTACCCCCGTGAAGGGCTGCTAGGCTGCTTGGGAAAGGAACTTGAAAGCAACCGTCTCCAGGCTTTCTCTTCTTAGAGCCATGCAGATATGTAACTCTGCATCTGAAAAGTCACACCCTGATCTTCCAGCTCGCATCTCTCGGCAGTCCAGCCGCACAGCTCTGTTCGCTGGCTTGACTGGACTCCAGGCTCTTCAGAGCGTGGAGTCTCTTCCTGTCTTTTAGCACTAAGGGCTGTTAACTAAAACCAAATCTTCTCTGTGAGCCCTTCTAATTATGTCTTACAGTATCTGATCCTTCGCTATGGCAGTGAGACAGACAAGCACCGATGCCGGTGGTTGCCCAGGGGCAGAGGGATTTGCTTTCTTCATGCTTTCATCTCCGCTCACACGCCACAGCAGAGCTAAGAAGTTGCATTTCTGAGCTCTACGTCTTTCCTTTCCCATCAGATAACCCCCTTCTGACCTACGCTCACTGCTGTATTCATGCTAGGTCAATCTTGAGGCCCCACAAGCCATCCCTTTGCCTGGGAAGGGAGAGGGGAGAGGTGTCTTACCGAGCTCGGCGTCAAGCCCATGTTGGCTTCAATGTACGTCTCCGTCTTTGGCTCCACTGCGAGTTCAGCCTCCAAGATCTTCTCCACGGGCATGTCCTCGTTGGCGCTACTTGTCGACTCCACCTCGTTCTCGTTGCGGTCCTTCCCCCGCTGCCTCTCCTCCTGGACGGCTGGAAGTGGACAGAGAAGGGACAGGGTCAGCCCAGGGCTCCCAGCCACAGTGTCACTAGCTGGGATCCCGAAGCTCCGCAGAGCTCCAGGCGTTCTTAGCCATGAAAATCTGAAGCATCCTCAGACCTGTAGGATCACACAGACATCTCATGTCTTGTTCTCCCACCTGACCTCTCCATCAGCGTGGTCAGTGGGTTTCGGGTTTGGATAGTCCAAGGTGGGGGGGGAATGGGGAAGGCACTGAGCAGCCCTGGCCTGGGAGAGATGCTCCACGTGTGCTCCTGTGGGAACAGGGCGAGTGAGGGTCCCTTCAGAGCTGGCCTCTGCTGGGAAACTCCCCTTTCTGCAGAGGGAGAAGCCCTGGAAGCAAAAAAAGTTAAAGACAACATGATGAAAAGCAAAGGAAGGTCAGAGGGAGAAGCCCTGGAAGCAAAAAAAAGTTAAAGACAACATGACGAAAAGCAAAGGAAGATACCCAGCGAGTCATCGCGGGAGTGGGAAATGGATGGGTACCGCTGCAGGGAAGAAAACAAGGAGGTGAAGGGATAGCATAAGGGAATCCTAAAGAAAAGAGAAATCGGACAGTTCAAAGCATAAGTGTGGAGTTTAACAATCTCTGAGCCTGTCAGTGCTGAATCTCCACGGAGGTCACATCATGCATCCCGTTCCCTGGTCCAGCAGCGATGCTAACGGCTGTGGCAAGGCTCCGCAGCAGGACGGGACGGTGCTACTGCGGGATGGGAGCTGGGAGCTGGGATCTGCTGGAGCGCTCTATGCAAACCACCACCCAGCCTCTGGCTCTGGGCAACTTCCGAACAGACAGGAGAGACCTGTCCCAGATCCTGCGTGGTAGGAGCAATCCAGCCAGAAGCATGTCACATGCTGATGAGTTAATGTCTAAAGAGTACATAGATAAAAAACACTTATTAGATGCTAATGACATTATCACTAACCATTTCCCTTTGAAACCAGCTCTCGGGCTTTCCCTAAACCTGGAAAGTAGCTTTATGCAGACAGTTACACCAGTAACTATCTCCTTCTCAATCACCATGTTACATACCCTAAATCACACACTTTTCCACACACTGTTGTTTCCCACAGTACGGTTTAGCCCAGTCTGGCTGAGAACAGCCCAAGAAAACAGGAGTTTCCATCACTGCTCACGAGAGACAACTCCCTGAACTTACCCAGCTCTTTGCTGAGCACTGAACAAGGCATTCAGTAATGCAAAACCAGTCCTGCTATTTATTGACAATTTTCCTAACACTTCTCTGCTGACTTTGAAGCTGGTTAGGTGACAATAAGAGACAGCAGCAGAGGCAGAGGTATTGTTCTAGCGAAACCAGAGCTGTCTGCAACACACTAAGGCTTTTTTAGGCAATCACCGGGACCAGCTCTATGCCAAATGCAAAAATGAAACCTGCAACATAAAACCTATTTCTCAAAAACCAGGAAATTAAGACACATGCTAAAAGAGTCCTTTATAGACACTGATCCCATGAACCCAGCTCCACCCCAGCATGCAAAGGCTTGGAGCTGATTTCCCCCATTCACCCTCCCCTCCTGCAGCCGCCGGTGCAGCGTTGCTGTTTGCTGCACGTCAACAGTGTTCAGACTCCTTCCATGTGAAAGCTGTTATGCAAAAAGCAGGAGGTTATTTTTTGCAAACTGCTCTTAAGTTTATGGGCTGCAGAGGCTCCCGAGACCCACGCAACATTTTCTGCTTGGTCTACCAGAGCCAGGTAGGCTGCAGCTGTCAGGGCTGGGATTTGTGTCGTGGCTTTTGTCCATCTGGCTCTTGTCTGGCACAGATTCTTCTCTTCACTTTTTCAGGCCAACATAAAATCCTCCTTAAATTTCTCCCCCTACCCCTACTCCTGTTTTCTCAATCATCAAAAGGCTAGATATTTTTGCTTAATGCCAACCCTTCCTCAACAGCACAGATGCACCAAAACTCCTTTGGGCACATTAGAAGAGATAAAACACCTACTAAATAACAGAAAAAGCCTAAGAGGAAGGCAAACCCTCAACAGATGGGATTGTACAAAATGCCTTAAATGCCAAAGACCTGATGCACAGCTGCAGCAGATCTCAAGGAAAAAGGTACAAATGGGGGTTCCTCGCCCTGAGATCAACCACCTCCACTGTCGGGGTCAGTCCATCGGGAAGGGGTGTTAGTCCAAAAAAAAAAACCAAAAAACTCTTGCTCAGCCACCAGTGACTCAGCTGGATACTGGACTTGTGGGAAAGGGCTGCAGAGATCTGGGGAGACAGAGGCTACTTAAAGCATTAAATCTGCAAATCTCAACCTCATCAAAACCAACAGTCACATTCTTGGGGGTGAAGAATCAGATACACTTGAAAGGTTATAGGAAAGTGAATCTTACAGGTCATCATGACAGCATTTGGTAGTGATGAAGCTGAATGTCGCCGGCATAAACAAGAGATGGAAAGAGATCACACATATAAGCAGTTACTTCTATTGATCTATGCTTTGAGCTGCTACACCAGAAAGTTGGTGCTGCTGACCACTGGTCAGGGGAAAACTGCCTCACTCCAGCCTGCTCCACCCCACACAAAGCCCCCGACACTCGCCCTGCCCAGCTGGCCGCCGGCAGCAATGCCACGCCAGGCAGAGCAGATGGCGTATTCGCACCGACTATGGCAGGTCCAAAGATAAACCAAGCCCTTGCCAGGGAGAGCACTACCTGCTTTGCTACCCCTGTGTCTGAAGACCAGACAGCCCCCTCCAAAGCCAGGACAAGCCTGGCATCACCCTGCACCCCCCCTGCAGCCTGGATGTCCTCCATCCATCCCGTACCCCTGGCTCGCTGGGCTGCTGCAAAGCTGTGCCTGTTTCCCAGCACGGAGCTCAGAGACGCCGTTATCCTCCCTTCCCACTCAGAAGCAGCTCCACACCAGCCCTGTGTCTGCAGGGCTCATCTGGACAAACTACAGGGTCTGGGATGGGTGGGGGGGAAGCCATCGAGAGGAGCCCACGTCACCATCCTTCCACCTCCGCCCAGGCTGCAGGTGTTAGCCCAGATCCACTCGCAGGACCGTGCTGTTCCCAAGGATGCTGATTTTTCTGGTCACGGCAGTGGTACACCACTTCATCATCTGTGCGGGTCTATTCATCTTGAACGCGGGAGGTGAGCCAGGAGTATTGTTTGCTGCAACCCAGCGAACACTCTTTGCGAGGCAGAGCCGTCCCAAGCTGTCGTGACGCCAGCCCTGCCTGCCGCGCCGCGTTTGCAGAGATGAGCTTCCCCGCGCTCTCCTCTGTGTTGATGGCCCTGCCAAGGCTTTTATTTATCTTCAAGGAGACTCGTACGGTTGAGAGGTTTTCGAGTCTGATTTTTCTTAACATAAGGGAAGCGTTTAAAACTTGCAATCCACTTGAGGAGAAAAAAAGATGTTGCAGTCAAAGAGAGCTCCGAGAGGCAGCCCCCCCTCCCAGGGGGCAGCCCCACCCCCTCCAGCTATGTCTCAGCCGAGCCAAGGACAGAAGCCTGTGTTTTCCATGGCACCTGATGAAGAGGCTCTCGTGTTATTCTGCTTGATTTGGTCTGTACTTGCCTAAGGCTGGTTGCTGTCGTTTTTCATCTCGAGCTTCTCCAGCCCATCTGCACTTCCCCAGGCCACGGCACAGCAAGATCCAGAGCCCCATGTGTCCACACCACTTCTCGGTGACCTCTCTAAGAACCAAAATGTCTCATCCCGTGGATCGCAGATGAGCCTTAGCTGCCAGGGTGCAAGGGCTTATATGCCGAAATGCCGGATCCATCCCCTGCCGGTGTGCACATCAACGCTGGGCACCTTGCTTTTGTTCATGGTGCAGCGTCTGATGGATACATGAGCAGGTCTGAGTCCGTGGCAAAGTGGGCAACCAACAAGTGAGGGTGGCTGCGGTTCAGGAATGAACTTTCCCACTGCTGGAGAAGAACAAGCTGCTCTCTGAGGCTCCGGGAAGGACATGGACAACACTGCCAAGAAACCACTGCGGTATCCCCAACTTCATCACAAGCCTCGTGATGAACATGGCAAAGCCCCTGCTCTGAGATGTGTGAACCCCCCAGAATCCCAATCCTCCGGGAAAAGTTCTTTCCTTTTTAAGCCTCGGAAAGAAACCTGATGCTGTGATCTGCAGACTAATTAGATTAAAAAAAAAAAAAAAAAAAAGAACAATGTCAAGTGCATGCTCTGGTTTTAAAGCCTGGGCAGAGATGCAACCCGGGTCCCCCTCGCTGTGGTATGGCCACTCGCCACCGGCACTGCCAGGCTCGGCAGGCACCCCGCTTCTGTGCCAGAGGAATGTTAATGAGGGGAGGAAGAGGCACAAAGGAGACAGGATTTTCCACCGAGGCAGAGGCATTTCTGAGAGCTCCCATGGGTAGGAGCATCCCAGGCTTGTTTGTTTGCTGGGAGAGACGTGGAGGGTACAGCGGCTCCTAATTACCACTTACCCTGCGTTAACACAGACGAGCGCTTGTTTCAGAGATGAAAATCCATCCTTCCAGGAACAATAGCGCGGATGACTGGCTGGGGTTTGTTTCTTTTCATGGGGGAGGAGGGGGAAGGATAAATCACTCCCACCAAAAATGGACTGAATGGGGTTTTCTCAGGGGGACGGATCCCATGTCCGGAGTCCCTTGGCACGGGGAGCCCAGCACCGCGGGGCCAGGCACCGATGCTCAGTCTGGTTCTCAGACAGCGCAAAAGCCGTGGGCAAACAGAAGATGCACTTTTTGGCCTTGGCGCTCTCATTCTTCTGAGCATGCCCTGATCCTCTCCTGCCTTCGCCCCCTTTGCTCCTTCCCCAGCAGATGCAGAGATCCAGAGGGCAAACTGGGATGATGATGCTTTCCAGACCGATCCGACCTGGATGCATTTTGGGGACACATCCCTCCATCGCCAGGGCTTGCCACCCTCCTCCTGGAGAGCCCAGGGGCAACGTGTTCTCCAAGATCCAAACCCGCTCAGTGTCCTCTGAGCCCAG